GCTCTACCACTGAGCCACCTTCCCAGCCCACCATTGCCCATTTTGTGATCTCCTCTGTGGTTTTACTTTGAGATCACCACCTCTGAGACAAAGGAAAAAAGTCAAGTTGGGGGTATTAAAGGCTGAGGGAGAGAGTGGGAGGGTTGAGAAGGATCAAGAGATGTAACGCCCATAGCTTTGAACTCTCGTACTCAGTTTCTCTCAGAGGAGAAGCTGCACTATCGGAGCGCTCGAACCAAGGAGCTGGATGCACTACTGGGGGACCTGCACTGTGAAATCCGGGGTGAGAGGAGTGAGGTTGGTGGGAGGTGGGCAGCTGGCTGAGTCTCCAATGGCCTCCTCTTCTTGCTGTCTCTCTCTTACTCTGCTCTACATCTTCCCCATTTCTGGCAGTCTCAGGCTCTGTCTTAGTTTCTGCATGCCTGGCTCCAGGTTTCTTTGTGGTCTCTGTCTTTCCTGCGCTGTGCTCTGAAGCTGACTCTCCGCTCCCTCCCTCACCTGCCCCCAGACCAGGAGACCCTGCTGATGCACCAGCTGCAGTGTCAGGTGCTGGCGCGGGCAGCTGTCTTGACACCGGTATTGGACCTTGCTGCCCGCCTGGATGTCCTGCTGTCTCTTGCCAGTGCTGCCCGGGAGTATGGCTACTCAAGACCCCGCTACTCTTCCCAGCTCCATGGAGTAAGAATCCAGAATGGCAGGTAAGAACAAAGGGGGTGTTGATGGATATACAAGATGCCCAGAGGCCCCTTGTCTGAGGTGGAGCTGGGGTTACCCATCTGGATCCATGGGTCATATAAAGTGCCCCTCTGCCCACCACAGACACCCTCTGATGGAACTGTGTGCAAGAACCTTTGTGCCCAACTCCACAGAATGTGGTGGGGACAAAGGGAGAGTCAAAGTCATCACTGGACCCAATTCCTCAGGGAAAAGCATATATCTCAAACAGGTGAGAAGCCCTACATCCTGGCCCTCTACTGTCTTCCCCCGCCCCCCTGCTACCTCTGACCAGCCAGCCAACCCAAGTCCTCTGCTCTTCCATCTTGTATTCTCATTTTCTACCTGAGAACCATGTTCTAGGAGATCATGCCATGACTTGAATTCCCATGATCCACCTCTAAATAGGTCCATGCTGTTTCCAAACAGGCCTCTGCTCTGTCTAAAGCTGGGGTGGGTGGCAGTGTGTTGTATACCTTTGTTCTTCTGTTACCCAGTATCCATCTCTCTGTCTATCATCCTTGGCCTCAGCTAAGCCTCACGTTTACTTTCACCCACACCACCAGTCTCTGTGTCCTGTCTCCTCTCCTGTTCAGGTTGGCTTGATCACTTTCATGGCCTTGGTGGGGAGCTTTGTGCCAGCGGAGGAGGCAGATATTGGGACAGTGGATGCCATCTTCACCCGAATTCACAGCTGTGAATCCATTTCCCTCGGCCTCTCAACTTTCATGATTGATCTCAATCAGGTCAAAAGGCGCGAAGGGAGGAGGGATCAGGATGGGGACAATGAGGAAGGAACTGTCTCAGCAGTGCTCAGAATGTAATACCAAAAAACACCTCTTGAGAACTGGGTCCTGGTGGTCACACCTGTAATCCTAGCTATTCAGGAGGCTGAGATCTGAGGATCACAGTTTAAAGCTAACCTAGGCAGTTAAGTCCATGAGATTCTTTTTTTTTTTAAATATTATTTTATTTTATTTGAGAACATACTGTACAGAGGGGTTACAATTACATGAGCAGGATAATGCATACATTTCTTACCAAGCATTGCAGCCTCCTCCTTTGTTTACCCTTCACCTCCCTTCCCAGCCTCCCCCCTCCCCCCCCACCCAATCCTTCCCCCCTCCCCCCCCACACCGACATTGTAAAGCTCGTTTTTGACATGACATTTTGAAGTCCATGAGATTCTTATCTCAAATTAACCACCAGAAAAAAAAACCTGGAAGTGACACTGTGGCTCAAAGTGGTAGAAAGCTAGCCTTAAGGGAAAGGGCTCAGAGACAGTGTCCAGCCCCATGGTACACACACACACACACACACACACACACACACACACACACACACACACACACAGACAAAAGTAAAAACAATACCTCTTGAACCTTTGCTTTATGTGAGTCAAGGAAAGAATGAACAAAATGTGGATCATTAGAGGCCTTGAGTGCTAATGGAGCCTCCTTGTCCACCTTATGCCCACTAGGTGGCGAAAGCAGTGAATAATGCCACTGAGCAGTCTCTGGTCCTTATTGATGAATTTGGGAAGGGAACCAACACGGTGAGAGGGGAACTGGGGAGAGGGGGAGGGAGAGGGAGGAGGATGGAGACGCAATTGAGTGTAGCCAGGCTTGGGAAACAACATGGATGTATGGGTAGAAAAGAAATAGAGAATATGAGATGGGCAAGGCCAGGGCAGATGTAGAAGGGCGCTGCTTGTGGCTCTCCCCCTCCCTCCTGCCCTCCGTGCAGGTGGATGGACTGGCACTTCTGGCTGCTGTGCTTCGACATTGGCTTGCGCTTGGACCCATGTGCCCCCACATTTTTGTGGCCACCAACTTCCTGAGCCTTGTTCAGCTACAGCTACTACCTCAGGGACCCCTGGTACACTATTTGGTGAGGAAGCCAATCTACCTCAGGGACCCTTAAATTGAGCATTTCCCCAGTGTAAGGACTGGCTCCTCTATCAGAGCAGTGGTTCCCTAAGCAGGAGCCACGTTCCTGTCCTCTTCTCAGTCTGCACAGGAATTGCCCAAGCTTTTTCCCTCCTGGGCAGGAAGCAGGGTGGCTGATGACACACTGTCCGCCCCCCCCCCCCCCACCCCGCTTTTACATATTTTTTTTTAAACTTTATGTGGTACAGAGGAATTGAACCCAGGGCCTCATGTATGCCAGGTAAGTGTTCTACCATTAAGCCACATTCTCAGCTTCCTCCCTGCCCCCATTTTGTTCTCTTTTAAGACCATGGAGACTTGTGAAGATGGGGATGACCTTGTCTTCTTCTACCAGCTTTGTGAAGGGATTGCCAATGCCAGCCATGCCTCTCACACTGCCGCCCAGGCCGGCCTACCTGACAAACTCATTGCTCGTGCCAACGAGGTGATGAGATTCTGTGTCCAACCACCTTCATCCCAGGGTTCCCCTTGTCCCTTCTTTTGGAGATCTGCACTTCTGGGCCCCAAATAGTCCTCTGTTCTTCTTCAACTCCCCACACCCCTCCTGCCTTCCATCTTGCTCCTAGGTCTCAGACTTGGTCCGCAGTGGAAAACCTATCCAGCCTGTCAAGGAGTTACTAAAGGAAAACCAAATGGAAAAGTAAGTGCATGGCCCCGGATGTGCATGGTACTCATCAATGACACATTGCTTCTTTCTTAAATCCCTACATCATCAAGGTGATGGGTTTCTTTTTTTTGGGGGGGGGGGGGGGTCCGGTCATAGGGCCTGAACTCTGGGCTTGGGTGCTGTCCCTTCAGCTCAAGGCTAGCGCTCTACCACTTGAGCCACAGCGCCACTCCTGGATTTTTTCTTTTTGCTTATGTGGTGCTGAGGAATCGAACCCAGGGCCTCATGCATGCAAGGCAAGTGCTCTACCACTGAGCCACCTTCCCAGCCCCAAGGTGATGGGTTTCTTTTTTTTTTTGTCGGTCGTGGGGCTTGAATTCTGGGCCTGGGCGCTGTCCCTCAGCTCTTCAGCTCAAGGCGAGCGCTCTACCACTTGAGCTACAGCGCCACTTCCAGTTTTCTGGTGGTTTATTGGAGATAGGAGTCTCACGGTCTCTCCTGCCCGGGCTGGCTTTGAACCGCGATCCTCAGATCTCAGCCTCCTGAGTAGCTAGGCTTACAGGCGTGAGCCACCAGCGCCCAGCTGGTGATGGGTTTCTTATGCAGATTCTCTCCCTGGCTCAGGGACTCAGTTATCCATTCTTCTATAAACCCCATCATTCTCTTTCTTCAGGTGCCAGGAATTAGTGGATAAGTTCCTGAAACTGGATTTAGATGATCCCAACCTGGACTTGGACATCTTCATGGGACAGGAAGTGCTGCCTGCTGCCACCACCATCCTCTGAGAGTCCTTCTGCCCTCCTGATTCCCGGAGGCCCCAGGGACTGCCAGGCCCTTTGTTTCCTTATCCCCTTCAGACCCAGAGTCCTCAGTTTGCCTAGAAAATTTGTTTCATAGTAGGAATAAAGTGGCTTTTTTTTTTTGGATGAAGTTATTGTTTCCAAAACAGAACACGAAAAACTAATAAACATCAAGCAGTCTACAGAAGAATGTGCCTTGTCTCAGTTTCAATACAAGGGTAATTCTGTAGGGAGACCTTCAGATTCTACCCCAGGGGTTTTATGAGAATAAATTACTTTGGAGAAGCCCTGCAAATACAGATTAGAGAGTCAAGCTTGGTGGTGCATGCCTGTAACCCCAGTACTCAGGAGGATGAGGCAGGAGGATCAGGAGTTCATAATGAAATCCTGTCTTAAAACATACAAACTACTGTCCATTCCCCTCCCAAAACTGTTAAAAGTAGATTAGAGGCTATGTGGAGTGTCTTATGCCTGTAAAATAAGCTACGTGGCGACAGAGATTGAGAGGATCAGTTTGAGGGCAGCCTAGGGGAAAAGTTAGTAAGACCACTTCTCAATAAATAACCTGGGTATGGTGGCACATTTCTGTCATCTCAGTTATATAGATAGAAGCATAAGTAGGAGGATTATGTCCAGGTCAGCCAGGAGAAAAAACCCACAGGAGCCTACCTAAAAACAAAAATAAAACAAAACCAAAAACTAAAAGAGGTGGCAGGAAAAGCTCAAGTGCAGAGGGTCTGCATAAACTAGCTTAGGCCCTGAGTAAAGCCTCATAATTATCCCCCAAAAACAGCAACAAAGAACAAAACAACAACAAAAAAGATCAAAGGGGGGGGGGGGAAACAGAGGGCACAAACAGAAACATCCCAGCTCAGACTTTCTGTGTAACAGAGCAGAAAGATTGAAAGACAAGGCAGAGTGGGTGCAAGGCTGGGGTGGAAGGGGCGGGAGTGGCCCTGGCTGAGCCAGTACGAGGCTCTGCCTTTCCCACCCCAGAGCCATGGGGAGCCAGGGTCCTGGTGGGCCGCCCCTGGTGCAGGTTCCCTACTCGGTTCTGCTGCTGCCACTGGAAACAAGCCGCCAAGACTCAGGAGCCCAGAGCTTCTTCCTTTGGGTAAGTTTTAGGCCAACAAGAGGACTTGGGAAGCCCCTCTCCTGTCCTCTACATTTCCATTCAACATTGAGTCTTCCTTGTTCTTCCTCTTGCCCTTCAGGTCCTCAGTGGCCAGTCTGGGCTCTAAGTTAGAGACCACACAGTTAACTCCTGAGAGAAGGCCCTGGCCCTGCGTTCTGCAGGGTGTGTCAGCCTCTACTTCTTGTCTCACTTAGTTGGAGAGGATGCAGGCCCTGGAGAGAAAACAGGACGCCCTGTGGCAGGGGCTGGAGCTACTGGAGCAAAGCCATGCCTGGTTCGAAGACCACCTAAGGGAAGCACAGCGTCAGCAGCTGCATCTGGGGGCCCTGGGGGAGGTACGGAGCTCCTCCTCTGTGTGGATGGGGTAGAAAGGGAGAGGCAGTAAATGGACATAGTCTGAGACCATTCTGGAAAGCAGAGAGTTAACGGGTAGGGATCAGGAGATGGAAGCATCATTGGAATGACAGGATGGCCCCAAGTGTTAGGTTGGAGTTCATTGTTGGAAGAGGCCAGTTTGCATTCCATTCAGAGGGAGGGTGGGGGAGTGGCCTGGGGTATTCCAATAGGGCAGGGATAGTCCAGGAAGATCCATGAGGAACAAGAGTAGGGGGGCATTGTATTATTTGGGGGGTTACAGTGTTGTGCTTGTACTAGAGCTGGTCCTGGGCTCTGTCCCTTAAGATTTTTCCATTCCAGGCCAGCCCTCTACCACTTGAGGAACACCCCCACTTCTAGCTTTTTGCTGGTTAATTGGAGATAAGAGTTTGAAAGACTTTTCTACTCAGGCTGGCTTTGAACTGCAATCCTCAGATCTTAGCCTCTTAAGTAGGTAGAATTACAGGTATGAGCCACGGGCATCTAGCTTTGATGTGGGGTGGTGACAGATGAATGGCAGATGGACTTCAAGTTTTCACCATGTTGTCAGCATCCAACACCTCCTTTAGAATTTTCTAACAGATTTGCACTCAGATTCTGGTGGCCCTCAGTTAACCCAGATTCAAAAAATGAACATGTGTTTGCAGAATCTGATTCGGAAGGTGAGTTTATTGTTTTGAGTTTAGGCTTTGGGGAGTTGATGGGACAAGAGAAAGGAGTGGGGATCAGCACTGGTTTAACAGAAAACCGCAAATCTCCCTCAGATCTCTCCAAATCCATTAAACAAGGCTAGCTCCCAGGCTACCCAGTACCAGAAGGAAAAGTCAAAGCAGCAGAATTTGTGGCAGCAACAGGTAAACTGGGGTGGTGGGAGCCCTGGCCCACGGGGCATGGGATACACGATGTGCAGTCTGTTTCTCTCCTCTTCTCCAGGCGTTGTCAAGGAAGCAGAAAGGAGTCATCCAGCCCAAGGGGGAGATAGCTGGGCCAGGCGGCTCCCAGGGGTGGAGGGGCCCTACCCTCGTGTGAACCTCCTCCACTCCTGCCCCTCGGAAGAAGGCGGCATCAGGACCTTCTCTTCTTGTTCTTGTCTTACTCCACAGCTTGATGGCTCCGGGATGTGTTACAATTAAATTCAATTTTAAATCTAGACATCTTGGTATAAAGTATATCTATCCTCTGCTCCTAAAAACTCCCACTTTTTCTCTTTCTTTCTTTCCTTTTCTTTTTTTTTTGTCAGTCGTGGGGCCTGAACTCTGGGCCTGGGCGCTGTCCCTCAGCTCTTCAGCTCAAGGCTAGTGCTCTACCACTTGAGCCACAGTGCCACTTCTGGCTTTTTCTGCTTATGTGGTGCTGAGGAATCAAACCCAGGTCCTCATGCATGCAAGGCAAGCACTCTACCAGTGAGCCACCTTCCAGCCCCTCATTTTTTCTTCTTGATGCCTTGATTTTTACCTATTCTACATGCAAAAACATGTGCAGGAAGAAGAATTTATCCAGAATCCTTCCATGGAGAAGACATGTTCACTGAGGCCATCCTTTTGTAATCCCCCCCCACCCAGCCTGTAAAGAACACTTCCTAGTGCCTTGCTCCCCCTTCTAGCCCTAGACTGCTCCCCATGTGTCTTCCTTTACCTGAGTCTGGAAGAGCATGACGCCTTAGTGGAAAAAGGTATTCAGGAGAAAAGGCATTTTCTCAAAAAAAAAAAAAAAAAAAAAGAAAAGTTTTTGATTTGGTCTTCATAAAGGTTAGTTAGGGAAGGTGCACTATGGGAAATCCATTGCACTCTATCCCAGATCTATGTCCCAGGTCTTAAGAAAGAACAGAGACAAGTCTGCCAGAAGGAAAACCCTGATCCCCGCTAGAAGAGAGAACCCTGAAGCTTATGTGACCCTCTCACCCATGGGACAACTTGAACACAGTACTGGACACGCACTCCCTCTAAGGGTTGTGTTACCAGGAGGCCAAGCATAGCAGAAACAGCACCTCTGCAACTATATCCCACTGAGAACTGCCCATTCCTCTCCCAGCCCTTCCCTGAGTCACCAAGGTGGAGGGATGAGGCAGAGGCTTAGCCGAAGGAAGGACAGGACTGGATTCCGAGGCAGCGGCAGCAAGCTGATCCTGGGGGACAGAGGGAGCAGGTCAAGGTGTGCTAGAGCTGTCCTGAAGTAGCCCTCTATTTGCCTAGACTCTCATGAGGCCAAAAGTGGGGTACCTCACCTGCTCTGCTGGATCTAGTACCAGGAGCCGGAGGAAGGCATGGGTCGGGGGCACTGGGCTGGCTCCTGGGCCTGCCGCACTCATCGCAGTCACCGTCACCATCACCACGGAATTCGGGGCTGCTGAGTCTGGGACCTCCAGCCACAGGCGCCCTGAGGCTGACTCATTCAGTCCCAGGTGAGTCCTGGAGAGTGAATTCCAACTCTTAGAACCCAGAGCCAAGGGGCAAAGCCAAGCGAAGGGGCCTGAGAGGGTCAATGGACTCTTCCCTTTGAGGGTCAATGGGAAGGGGACAAAGGCAGGACTTAGGATAAGGGCCTGGGCCCAAGCCCTGCGCCCTCCAACACATGGTAGGGGTCAGAACCAGCAAGAAGAATCAGAGCACTCACCTGGTCAGGTTGGAGGTGATGGCAAAACTGGGGTTGACAGATATCTGAAGATCAAGATCCTGAGGGCTGGAGAAGCTGGAGACGTGGAGACTCAGCGGGGCCTTGCTGCCTGGGACCAAGAAGTCTGGAGGGCCGTTCAGCTGTGGGAAAGTGGCGGTCGGGAGAGGGGTTATCCCGGAGCTCTCCAGCCTGCCCCTTCCTTCCCCTTGTGCCTCACCTCCAGAAGCACTGGGGCCACAGTACAAGGCTGGGGTGCAGCCCTGTGCAGGCTCTGTCCCTCTCCATTCTGGCCAATAAGTTCAAGGGAAAAGGGGTGCGAGGTGGGCAGTAGAGTGGGTGGCAACGAGGCTGTGAGGAGGCCTTGCTCCGGGGGTCCAACAGGCTCCAAGGACACCCGGCCCAGCTCAGTGCCCTCTGGGACCCTTCGGAGAACAGCGTGGGAGAAGTGTGCATCACTAAGGTTACTTCTGGGGTCCAGCCCTGTCACTTCCACCAGCAGCTGGGTCCGGAGACCTGAGAAAGTGGACAGGAAGAGGGGGAGATCCTGAGACACAGGGAGAAGAGAATGAATGGCTACATCTTGAAGTGGGTGATGGTTATGTGGAAGTATTATATGAAATCCATCAAGCTGGACACTCCAGTGCTCTTTACTAAAAAAGATGCATGCAAATACATATATGGATGTACATACACTTATAGATATGTGCGCACATGTAACAGGCATACATAGAAAGAGCTAGGGGAGGGTGGTCAGGGAAGAGGTACCTGCAACTGGCTGAGTCAGGGGGTAGAAGCCAGGATGAGGTCCGTCATCCACGGGGATCCCAAAATAGAAGAGGAAGTCCAGGGAAGTCTGGGCTAAGGAGGGCCGAGGCAGTCAGAGACCTTCCTTGGAAGATGTGGGCCAAAAATGCTCTGTGAGGCCTAACTGTCCCCTTTCCCTTCCCAGGAACATCTTCCTCCTTACCTTGCACCCTCACCCGGGGAGTGCCCTTAGCTGCCATCTTGATCTCCCAAGTCCCTGTCTGTGGGGGGTCGGTCATGGTCACCATCCAGAACTGCCCAAAGCGGTGAGTGTGACCCAGAGGGCCTATGCCTTCCTCCTGGCTTTGAGAGACCCCTGGAGATGGGGACCAGGCATTGTCATGTGAAGCAATTCATTTCCCTTAGCACATCCCACCTCTTGTTTTCCATTCTCCAATCGCCATTTTTTCTTCTATGCCCTGCCTCACACACACACAGACGTACCTGAAGGGCTCTTAATCCAGAAGCTGCTAATTTCCCCGTGCATCCGCACTGTGAGCTTGTGAAGCAGCCCGTCCACGTGGAACACAAGCGTCCTCCCAGGTACCACGACAGGAGGCTCCAGGGGAACAGTCACCTTGAGGGACAGGCAGGACCACAGAGCGGAGGAGAAAGCAAGTTTAGAAGAAGAGGGGTGAGACTTCCTGTCTTATTCCTGAGGGGATAGGGGACCCAAAGTGGAAGAAAAGTTGATTGAGTTGAAAGAGCATTTTGGCAGGTGGATAGCCATGAGTCTCAGAGAAAGAACGAGAAACTTCCTTTCCCATTCTTCTGTCCAACGGGCCACAGAGCCACCCTTTCTCCTTTAAGACACATCCAGCATCCCTCAGAGATGAGGGCCCCAGCCTCTGGCCTTCACTTACCAGAGTAGCTGTGCTCTCGCCAATAATGGTTGCCACGTCCTGGATGTGCTGGTCTTTGGTGAAAATCACCTCTCCTCCTGATGCCCGTGCCACTGCTTCGTATGGCTCAAAGCGCAGGGGAGATAAGACCTCCCGACGAGCTCGCCCCTGAACTCTTGATGGGTCTTCAGTCACCAAGAATGTCACCTGAGGCCAACAGTGGCATCCAATATACAAGCATAAGTGAGGACCCCTTCTGCTCAAGCTTTCTGTGATTAGTGATAGGGTCTGTCTATCTCTGGCTGCTATGGCAGGTCTCTCAGGGACAAACCCCTGGCCCTCAGTTAGGAGCTGATTTCCTCCTTGTAACTGTTATTACTTAACAGAAGAGTGCTGACGACGACTTTCCTTTTTTTTTTCTGCTAGACCTGGGGCTTGAACTAAGAGCCTGGGCTCTGTCCTTTAGCCTTTCTGTCCTCAAGGTTAATAACACTCTACCATAAAGCCACAGTGCTACTTCCAGCTGCATCTGAGTAGTTTATTGGAGATAAGAGTCTCACGGACTTTCCTGCCTGGGGTTGGCTTTTAACCATGATCCTCAGATCTGAACCTCCTGAGTAGCAACGATTACAGGTGTGAGCCACCAGCACCTGGCTCTTTCCTTGTTCTTTGAAGAGTTTATTGGGTAGATTCAAATATGGATTCAGACCAGACCTGTAATGCTAGCTTCTAGAAAGCCAAGACCTAAGGATCTCAGTTTGAACTCAGCCCAACTCTGTGAAAATCTTATCTCCAAATAATGGGCAAAAAGCTGGAAGTGAAGGGGCTGGGAAGGTGGCTCAGTGGTAGAGCGCTTGCCTTGCATGCCTGAGGCCCTGGGTTCGATTCCTCAGCACCACATAAGCAAAAAGAAAAAAGCCGGAAGTGACGCTGTGGCTCAAGTGGTAGAGTGCTAGCCTTGAGCTGAAGAGCTGAGGGGACAGCGTCCAGGCCCAGAGTTCAGGCCCCATGACCGGACCCCCCCCCCCCCCGCCAAAAAAAAAAAAAAAGAGTAAGAAGACCTGAGTTCAAGCCCCAGTACTGGCACAACAACAACAACAAAACGAAAGCAACAATAAACAAAAAAACAAGCCAAGCGCTGATGGCTTACACCTGTGACCTAGCCACTAAGGATTACAGTTCAAAGTGAGCCTGGGTAGGAAAGTCTGTGACTCTCACTTGCAATTAACTACTACAAAACCAGAAAAGCAGGAGAGTGCTAGCCTTGAACAAAAGAGCACAGGCCCTGAGTTCAAGCCCAATGACCAACAACAACAAAAAAGAAACAAACAAATACATTCAGCATCATTCAGGTTAAAACTTCCATTCTTTTTTTTTTGTTTTGTTTTGGTTGGTCGTGGGCTTGAACTCTGGGCCTGGGCACCGTCCCTCAGCTCTTCAGCTTAAGGTTAGTGCTCTACCACTTGAGCCGCAGCACCACTTCCAGCTTTTTTTATGTGATGCTGAGGAATCGAACCCAGGTCCTCATGCATGCAAGGCAAGCACTCTACCACTGAGCCAACTTCCCAGCCCAGAGACTTCCATTCTTGACTATTGTTAAAGTTCTATCTGGTTTGACCATCATGGTGTGGTGTGACATTAATAAGACTGCAGTGTTTCCTATCTTGAGGAAGCTAATACTGGGTCTCCCACCGGCTGTTGCTTACCCTGCAGCGCCGCTCCTGAGCCAGGGATTCCACCCGGTTGGTGAGAAAAGCATCCTTTGGGGAGGCATCAGTAAAGACAAAGATGTCTGAGAGTGGAGGTGTGTGCAGCAGGGCTAGCTGGAAGAAAAGAAAATGAGTGATGTTTAAAAATGGTGGAGGCAGAGGAGTGGATAGAACCAGAGAGG